AAAAAAAAAAAAAAAAAAAAAAAGAAAAAAAGAAAAACAAAATGAAATAAAAAATAGCTTTTGTTAGCTGGGCATGGTGGCGCACGCCTATAATCCCAGCACTCAGGAGGCCGAGGCAGGAGGATCGTTGTGAGTTCGAGGCCAGCCTGGACTACAAAGTGAGCTCAAGGCCAGTGTGAACTGCATAGGGAGACCCTGTCTCAAAAAGACAAAAAACAAAAACAAAAAACAAACAAAAAACAGCTTTTATTTTTTTTTGAGACAGGGTCTCACTATGTAATCCAGACTAGCCTTGAACTTTTGATGATCTTCCTGCCTCAGCTACCTGAGTGTTGGGATTATAGGTGTCAGCCACCACACTCAGCCAAAAGATACTTTTAGAAGAATAATAACAACAACAAATAAAAAAACAATAGCAATCATTTCTGAGGATTCCATTCTCCTGAGGTTGGCTGTTTGGTGGCTGTCTGGGCAGGGCTCACACCGTAGCAGCAGTCCTGAGGGCCTGGGCTGGTCCACAGGGCCAAGAGGCATCCTGGGAGGTGGGTGGCTTTTGTTGGGGACCATACTCTCTTCCCCATGGACTCTCAGCTGCCCAGCCAGGAGAGGACAGTCCCAGGGTTCGAGTACTTTCCAAGCTCCCACCTGCATCACACTGCTGCTGTCCAGTTGGCCAAAACTGAGTTCATGACCAGCTCAGATTTGAGAGTTGAGGATGTACACCATCCCATCCTTTTTTCTTTTTTCTTCCCACTGTGGTACTGGGGATTAAGCCAAGGGCCTTCACAATGAGATGCATGCCCAGCCCTTTTATTATTTTGGGACAGGATCTCACCAGGTCACACAGTTGCCCAGGCTGGGCTTAAACTTGCAGTCTTCCTGCCTCAGCTTCCCATAGTGCTGGGATTATAAGCATGCGCTATCTCCTCTGGCTTCAGTAGCCTTTTTCTTTTTTCTTTTTTTTTTTGTCTTTTTGAGACAGGGTCTCACTATGTAGTTCAGACTGGCCTTGAGCTCACTTTGTAGCCCAGGCTGGTCTTGAACTCGATGATCCTCCTGCCTCAGCCTCATGAGTGCTGGGATTACAGGCGTGCGCCACCATGCCTGGCTCTTCTTTTTTTAGAGACAAGGTCTCATTATATACTTCAAGCTGGCCTTGAACTCACTGGGTAGCCCAGGCTGGTTTTGAGCTCCCCAGCAATCCTCCTGCCTCAGCCTCCTGAGTGCTGGAATCACAGGCATGCGCCACTGTGCCTGGCTGCACTTCTCTTTTATCTTGGCCACTTACATGGTGGGGGCTCTGGCCAAGTTTGAGCGGCAGGATTTGAGGACTGCAGTGGGCCCTGAGACCCAGGCTCACTCTGATTCTCATTCCTCACAGGCGTGGATGACACAGTCAGCGTGCTGCTTCAGTACCCGGGCGGCGTCCAGGGCAGCTTCACCTGTAGCATCAGCAGCAAGCTTAGCAACGCTGCCTCCGTGAGCGGCACGAAGGACAGGGCTGAGGTGAGGGCCCCGGGCTGCAAGGCTGGGAACCATGGCGTCACTGGTGCACAGGGTGACTGTGGTGACTGGAGCTGGAGCTGAGGTGAACGGGCCATTTTTACCCCATTGCTAAGGATGCCATTGTCCTTAGCAACCAAGCCAAGCAGTGGCTTAGGGCCTTCCTGGGGGTGAGCCCACAGGTGTGCGCAGGACCCTTGGTCCTGAGAGGAAAGCATTCTCTTTTCCTTTGGTTGTTTGACTCTAGCGATGGAGCCCAGGGCCTCCTGTATGCTAAGCCTGCACTCTGCCATCCTGATGCGTCCCAGCCCGATAAACCAGTCCTTAGCTGGTGTGGTGGTGCACACCTGTAATCCCAGCACTCAGGAGGCTGAGGCAGGAGGATCTTTGTGAGTTCAAGGCCAGCCTGCCCCTGTCTCAAAATAGCAACAAAACTGGGCTTGGTGGTTCATGCCTGTAATCCCAGCACTCTGGAGGCTGAGCAGGAGGACTGCCGTGAGTTTGAGGCTAACCTGGACTACAAAGTGAGCTCAAGGCCAGCCTGAACTGCATTGTGAGACCCTGGCTCAAAAAGATTAAAATAAAACAACAACAAAAAAGCCCCCAACAATAATAATAAGAGAAAGGAAGTCTTACCAGCGGTGCTTAAGGGGCAGTTGTTACCTTTGGAATTGCTCCGGGGCAGGGTCTGGGGTCAGCTTCCCTGGGCCTCATGGCACCCTGTTGCTAGAAAGAAATCTTATTCTTGGGCTGGGGGTGTCGCTCAGTAGTGGGAAGCTTGCCGAGCATGCACTAGGCCCTGGCTTCCATCCCTAACACTTCAGGAAAAAAGAAAAGATGCCAGGCATGGAGGTGCATGCCCCTAATCTCAGCACCTGGGAGGCTGAGGCAGGAGAATCATGGTGCATTTGAATCCAGTCTGGGTTACATAGTGAGTGCAAGGCCGGCCTGGACTACACAGCAAGGCCCTATCTCAAAACAAACAGAATTTTGAGTCTTTTCCTGGGTTTGTGGGCTCTCAAACACTCTGGCCTCAAGACCCAAGAGGAAACTGGGCTGGCCTCTGTATTTCCATTTTGGCCTAGATTTGGGAATGGAGACAATTTAGGCTCTGGAGGCCTTGGGCTAAAGAACAGGTCTAGCAGATAAGAAGGTGCCCAGTGGTTTGCACAGCCAATCTGGCAGAGGGAATTCCTGGGTGAAGAGAAGCCTCATCTCTCTAGTCCTAAGAAGTGCCTTGGCCTCAAACAGCAGGTTACACAGAGGGAAAAGACCAGGTTTGGGTGGGGCAGTGACTTTGCTAAGGAGAAAAGCCCCAGCAACCAGGGAGAAGGCAGGACTCAAAATTTCTGAGCCGAAGGTGACACATGTCAGTAATCTCAGTACTCGGGAGGCTGAGGCAGAAGGATCACAAGTTCCAGACAACCCTGGAGTACATAGTGAGACTCTTGTCTCAAAAACCAAAACCAGGCCAGGCGTGGTGGCGCATTCTTATAATCCCAGCACTCAGGAGGCTGAGGCAGGAGGCTCTTTTTGAGTTCAAGACCAGCCTGGGCTACAAAGTGAGCTCAAGGCCAGCTTGAAATACATAGGGAGACACTGTCTCTGGTATCTATTTCTTGCCTCATTGGCTTCGATTACTACCATTCTCGCTTTCATTGGAGAAATTTAGCTTTTTTTTTTTTTTTCTTGGTACTGGGAATTGAACTCAGGACCGTGTGCTTGCCAGGCAGGCACTGCACCATTGAGCTATAACTCCAGCTGAGACACTGTCTCAAAAAGACAAAAAAAACCCAAAACCAAACAAAACCTTCCTAGTGGCTGGAAGCCCTTAGCCACCAGACACATCACCCTGCATGCAATAGGCGGGAACCCCTAGCAACCCTGTTGGTGAGAACAACCGGAGCAATTTTTTACACCCTGCACTCAGGTTAGCCCTACCTGGGCCCCCGTGGAGCTGGTGGTGAACAATGATCGGAAGGAGTTCCCATGTTCCCTCGGCTCGAAGGAGATCTACAATTTTATCCACTCGCCCGGAATGATTTATGAGGCCATGCATGTCCGCAAGTGCTTGCGCAAGGGTAAGGGTGTGGAGGACACCGGCCGGTCCAAGCCTGGAAGGGGGTGTCTGGCTGCGCGCCATCCCTTTCATTCAGGCAGCTATGGGAACTACATCTCCCAGGATGTCCTGGGGCACCCATCTGCCTACAGCATGTGAGCTTGTGCCCCGAAGGATTCTGGGAAGTGTATTTCTATGGGCCTCTGGTATGTGGGTAGGCGGTGTCCCTCACGGCACTCCCTCCCTAGGCCTGAAAGAAAGTCCTGTGGTTCCGCTGGCTGAGAGTGAGCTCCTAGCTGACATCCTGGAGGAGGTGAGGAAGGTCATTGGAGTCACTTTCCCCCAAGACAAATGGTGATGCCAATTTGAATAAATAAAGGTTCAACCAGCGATGATATCCCATGCCTATAATCCCAGCATGCCTGAGGCTGAGGCAGGAGGATCTCCACAAGTGGGAGGCTAGCCTGGGCTACATAGTGAGTTCAAGGCCAACCTGAGTTACGGAGACCCTGTCCCAAAGACAAAAATAAAACCAAACCAACCAAACTACAGCAGTCGGGCTGTTCCTTTGCGAGTGAGACAAGCACACCTCCAAGTGACAGAAGGTGGGATTCGAGATGACTTGGACCTCTGGGTCCCCCAGAAAGTTCTGTCTGTCCCTGTCGTTTTCCATGGTGCTGGTTTTGTAGTCGCAGACACTGGTGAAGGATAACTGTGACACTGGAGCTAGACAGCCCAGGAAACCTTGGGCGGGAACAGAGTGGGTAGCGGTGACACCAAGAAGCCAGGTCCTACCTAAGTCAAGAGGTACCAGCAACGCCTTCATCTCAGCTCTCCATATCTTCCATGAAGGATTTCTTTTTTTTTTTTTTTGGTACCAGGAATTGAACTCGGGACCTTGCACTTGCCAAGCAAGGCACTGTACCGCTAAGCTATATCCCCAACTCAGGATTTCTGAGAAGACTCATGGCTGTGGAGTAGCGCAGAGGCAGAGTTTAGTGCATAGTGGTGGACTTTCACAGACAGAAAGTGTATGTGTGAGAGAGTGGTTTGCTTGAAGAAGGCCAAGCCCAAGGGGCCAGCTGCCCCAATTAAGACTCAAACTCCATTTCTTTGATTAACTGGGTCCTCCGGGGAAAATCCTTTCCCTCCTCCAAGGTCTTTTTATTGGAGACAGGATCTTGCTGTGTAGTGCAGGCTGGCCTTTTGCCCACTTTGTAGCCCAGGCTGGTCTCCAAAATGATCCTCCTGCCTCAGCCTCCCAGTGCTGGGATTATAGGCGGGTGCCACCATACCAGGCTTCCAAGGTTTTGAGTCTTATTGGTGTGCTCAGCATCAGTTACATTCTGCTGGGTTAGCCTGGTGTGGTGGCGCACGTCCTTAATTCCTGCTGTCAGGAGGCTGAGGCAAGATTGCTGTGAGTTTGAGGCCAACCTGAGCTACACAGTGAGTTCAAGAGCAGCCTGAACTACACACAGTGAGTCCCTGTCTTAAAAAAACCTAAAACAGAACAAAGCAAAACAGCCGGGCATGGTGGCACACACCTGTAATCCCAGCACTCAGGAGGCTGAGGCAGGAGGATTATTTCGAGTTCAAGACCAGCCTGGGGGGGCTGGGGATTTAGCTCAGCGGCAAAAGCGCCTGCCTGGCAAGCGCAAGGTCGTGAGTTCGGTTCCTGGTACCGGAGAAAAACC